AAAAGTTAAATATATTATATAAATACAAAAGTTACAAATTGCTATAAAAAATTGTAATTAAAAATATTAATAAATAAAATATATTTTTTTTTTTAAAAATTTAAATAAAGAACCCGTAACTTAATTTGCACTGTGTTATCTCTACGTTGTATTCGTATATCTCGACGTTCAAATGCGTCGCCAACCATAACAACTGAAACTTCATTAATAGTCAGTGCATTATATCGGCCTGTGTGCTGCCCAGATGGTACTTTGTCTGCTTTGATGACGGTATTGAACAACTGGACCAACTGGTTGTGATTTTTTAAAAACGGTTCTAAAATACCCAGAATTTCTTGCTCCTCCATCTGCTCGATATGGTTGTACTGGCAACGTGCGTTTCTTTGCTGCTTCTCACCACCCATGAAGTAGATTTGCAGAAATTTGGGATCATTATTGGGCATCGGCATTAAAGAACCAATTTGGTGATACACTTGGCCCTGAATCTTAAGCGTTGATTGAAAATTGCGACCAATCTCATTCTGAACGATTTTGGTTGTTCCAAATGATGTCATTTGAAAGCACGAATAGAATTTGCGAATTTTACGAAAAAACAATTTAGATTGAGATGTAGGTCCAGCCAATAGTGCTTTCAATGGTTCTGGCGGCGAATTCAATGGCGGCAATACAACTTTTCCAGATGCGCAGCAGTAACCGGCCGATTCACCTTTGTATTTGAGTGCATGACAATGTTGGCACTGTTTGTTCATAGCACCGATTACAATTCGTGAATGTGACGAATAGTCGATATCCGCCTCATATGTTATTCATATTGTTTTTTATTGTACGTTATTTATATCTTTATATATATAATTCTTCTTTTTTGTGTGTGTTCAAGTGAATTCAAGGATGGTTTAGATTCACAATTTGGTCCACTGGATAACGTTTTTTTAATTATTATGCAGTTTTTTGGTATCCATATACATTTATATTAGACATTTAAAAGTTATTCATGCTTACTTTGATTTGTTTAAAAAGTTTAAACTCTAAAATGAATCGTTCAGCTATCCTGTTGAATTTTTAAATTCGCTGGAATACCAGGAATACCAACACATAACTTAAGATTAAAAATTGGCTCACCTATAATTATGCTGCGGAATTTAAATGCACTTAAGCTATGCAACGACAATTTTACGATTCATTTTAGAGATTTTAAACTTTTTAAACAAATCAAATAAGCATGAATAAATTTTAAATTTCTAATATAAATGTATATGGATACTAAAAAATAAAAAATTAATTAAAAAGATATTATCCAGTGGGCCAAATTGTAAATCTATACCTTCCTTGAATCCACTTGAACACACACAAAAAATTTCATCAAAATCGGTTCAGCCGTTTAGGAGAAGTTCACTGTCAACACACGTACAGTAGAATTATATATATAAGATATATATATATATATATATATATTACATATATGTATATATATATATCTATATATACATGTACTTTTCTACTTTATAACTATTTATCTTCAGAACTACTTTAATAACTACACTTATATACTTATTATCTAATTACTTCATATTTCATTATCCTAACTTTCTTCAACACTTCAAAAAAAAAACTTTAAAATCTTTATCTAATATACTAAATAAAAATTAAAAAAACTATGCAACATCCACTATTTTTTTTTACTTTTTTTTTATGAATTTGAAAAAAATTTCATCATATAATATGGGAAGAGTTCGATTCCCGATTCTCACTATAACTGCAGCAGCTGTGGGAGTTTCTGTGCAGCTCCCTGTGGCACCTAAGTTACAGGTTCTGCCACGAGGCAATCCTACAGCTTCCATTTCTTTTAAAATTGTACTCTCCATTCCCCAGTCTACATCCCTGGCGGTACCAGCCTGGACGGGTCTAATTTCCTCTAACTGGGAAACTTTGGTAATATATTCGGTAGTGCCTGGTTATTGCTATCCTCGGGATCCATTTTTTTTCTTTGATTTTAAACGATAATATAAAAAAAAACCACGCCAAAGAAAACAACAAAACTCTTAACAAAATGATGAAGAAAATCACAACCCAGTTGACGCGTAGCTCTGCCTTAGGAGGAAAAAATTATCACAAACCTTATACTACCCCTTTACATAGGGCTTTTAACACACCATAATTATATCAGTCAACTAAGATAAATTTTGGAGGACTATCTTTCAATTTCATACAACTAAAAAATAAATTTTTCAAATATTTCTGACTGTGTTAACATTTCTTCATATTTATTAGTTATTATTATTAGCAATAGTATAAGAGATTATAATATATACATTTTTTTTCTTTATATATATAACAAATTCAATACGATTTTATTTTTATATTATATAAAACAATATTGATAAAAAAAAAGAAAGAATATTATAGCATATATAAATACAAATATTTTTTTTGTTCATTTATAAAAATATTTCAACAATAGTTTTATATTATGCTGTTTTTATGATAATAAAAAAAATTTCCAATCTTACTTGCATAGTATTAAAGCTTTTGTATAAAAATTTTTTCATTATATTCAACAAAAGTCATGTTTTTCTTTTGCAGATCTCATGACTATAATAATCTTAACCATATACGAGATATTTATATGTAAAGGGCCTCTTAGACAGCATCGCCCGTTGTCAACGCGCGCTTGCCATTACACGAACAATTTTTTAAAAACTCCCCAGATAATACAACAAATATACTAAAAAATCGCTCTCACATGAGAATGTTTTCTCCTAGTTTGTGAAATGCGAAATTTGTTTGTGTAATAGTAACATTTGAAATTTTAAGAAATGCGTTGACGAAAATCAAAAAATGTTCATATTTCTTCAAACACGCTCGTGTTAAAGAAATATGAACATTGTTCACATTGTGCATTGTGTTATTGAAATATACCAACAAAAAAAATTAAATTAAAATATAATTTATATAAAAATAAATATATTGTTGTAAAATTTGATGTGTAATGGCGAGAGAAGACTTCGTGCGTTGTCAACGCGCGTTGCTGTCTAAGGGACACTTAACTCTTAAATCTAACAATAAAAAAAATAATAATAGAAAAAGAAAACAAAAAAAAGAAAAAATTATATATAAAAAAAATCTAAGTGATTTGCATCAAAAAAAAAAAATTAAGTGGATAAAGAGAATGCAATTTGAACACAAGATGGTTGTTAAATCCGCGAAATAAATAAAACCAATAAAAAAAATTAACACTGATAATAAAATAAAAATATCATGTGGAAACATACGATTTTTTTTTTAATTAGCGATATTAAATTTTCTCTTTACATAAGTTTTCGTAGCTTACCTTACAGCCGCAGAAATGACGTCACTCACGCTGATGTTGACCTAACTGAAACTTGTAAACAATTTTTGAAAAAAAAACAATATATATGTGTTTATGTATGATTAAAGCAAAAAAAAATTATATGTTTCTATATATATATATATCTCTTTAGTATTAATTTTGTCTTTCTTAATCAATATATGTGCAGGATTTGGTATTATTACTTTTTTTTTTCTTTTTAATACTATACAATTTAAGATTGTATTCAATAAATTATATAATTCTGGTTCAAAACTAATCTTCTTAGCATTTAATACAGTTTTTCTCTGCTTTCAAAAAAAAAAAACCAAAAAACAAAATTAATCACAATTCTATAAAAGTTAATTAGCAGATCAATCTCTTCTGGAATGTACAATGGAATGTACATAATAAAATTATAAATATAAAAAAAATATAAATACATAAATGCACTTTTCTGTATAAGCTGAGTCGTTTATTGCGGGAATACCTGGACACCGTTGTGTCCTAACGGTGTGTATTGATGCCGTTGATTTCCTCAAAAATTTTTTTTTCGTTTCCGGTGTAAGTTCCTTACGGTTGTTTCCGCTAACTGGACTGCTCCTTACTTTGCTTCACCAGCCACAACATCACAAATATTAGCACATATAGTTGGTCACAAAACAGCTTTATATATACATATATATCTAATTCTTTGTTGTTTTTTTTTTTTTAATTTATGTTTATCTTTCTTTCTTTTGAGTTTGGGGTTGACAAAAACCGAATTTCTATTAATTGTACTGTAATAGGTGTTCACTGATGATTTTCAGACATCATTTCAGTTTGTTACCCGCGACTTGTCATAATATTTTTACTTTACAACATTAATTCTTTTAATTTCAATGTCAGTAATTTTTTTTTCTTTTAGCAAAAATTAATATGTATATTTGTAAAAAAATATATATTACACTCCTGCGTATTTCACGTAGATGTTGACTTACAACATGCCACATTGTTTAAACATATTTAAGAACAAATCTCTTCACAGTTTCGCATAAAACTAATGCACTTGATTGCCATTTTTTTCCTTTTAATTTTTAATTGTTTATATGTTAATTATATAATTGTAAATGTTCTAAATTTAATTCTGATTTCTGATTAATCACTTTCACTATTAAATTACTGACTTTTATTAGCACTTCACATGCACCAGCTTTAGCCACCAGAAAAGAAAGAAGAACGAATCAAAGCTCTGCGAGGTATTTTATAGGCCAGTTTGCCTAACTGAACTTGTTCCGTAACGTTCGTGGTTCTGTTAATTCCGTATTTACCACCAAAGGTTCTTCAGAACTTTTCACCACTTTTCCTTCTCTCGTGAATTGCTTTTGCTGACTTTTCCTGGCTTTCTTTTGGTTTTGATCTTAAAAAAGCTATTAAAAAGCTCACTCTACTTTTATTTCCACAAAACTATGACTTGCCTTTTTGTATTTTGGTTGATTATTCCTATTTGGCAATACCATCTCCTCTCACTACACAAATTTCAGTGAAGCTTTAAGTGGAATTCGCCTCAACTTGCACAGATCAAAACAGACAACCACAAAAAGACCGGCAGGTGTAAAAGCTTTATTTTTACTTTCTTTATTCACTTTTTTTTTATTTTTTCATTGGCAACGTGCGTTCAAAGCACATTGTAAGTTTAATTTTTTCTTAGTCGTGATTAGTGATAAAAATCAAAAATAAAAAAAGTTGACAGAAAGTGTATTAAAAGTGCATTATGTGTTGCAACAAAAGTATATATACGTAGATAAGTATATATATATACCTAAATAAAACCAGGAGATGTGGTCTGATGCAGAGCTTATGCCATGTTTACATAAGGCAAACAACAAAAAAACTGGTCGTATAAACAGGCGCTGCGCGAAGTGATCTTGGACCGCGTGGGACGTCGCCGATACCATCTTCATTACATTTTTAAACTCTTGTAACAAAAACTAAATCTCTTCGTAGGCCTACATAACAATTGTTATATTTATTATTATTACTAAAAATTACTACAAATTCGTAATTCTTTTCAAAAATCTATCCTCATACAATCTTATACCATCATTGTTAATATAATTCAAATATACTAATATAACTGTATTATATATTAAATTATATCTATATCTAATAAATACCAAACAACCATTACAAAGGTAAATAACCAGACAATATGAAAATTTAGAACTTTATGTTAAAAACATGACATTTACTTACTCTATAATCTGTATAAATATTTTATTTAGTTATAAAAACTATATCTTACTTTCATCTTTACAGCCTTTACATCAGAAATGGACAACTACTATACCGATGAGGAACTACAAATCGCATATCAATCAGCCATGGCTGACATTCTCTTTGAAAAGCCACAAATCCACACCAATCATGCTCTAACCAACACTACAACACATCACTGTCATACCACACATATATTATCCAAAAGTACTACCTCATCTCATATACCATAACATGGGCATAATCTTCATCAATTTGCTTCATCACCAATATTAAATATAACAAGTAACTGCATCTATCATATATTTTTTAAATATTATATCCATCTATATTTTAGATATTGCCTCAAATATACCAAAAACCATCAACAACAGATCCAACAGTCCATCTAATACAAATCCGACTACTACCACCACTACTATATTCACCACAGCACCAATCACAGTATCATCCTTCAACAACTCAACACCACCTGTTCCATCACAATTATTACAACCTATAACTACATCAAACGGTAAATCATCTCAAACTTCTTATTCTTAGTAATTTATAAATTCTTATATTATTTCCTCTTCATTTTACATAATTTTATCAACTTACTATCCATTACATCTCTCACAATTTTCATAATTTTATACAATTTTACATTATTTTATATCTACTATATTTTATATTATTAACTAAATCAATGTCAAAAACATACCTGAAACACCATATATACAGCCATTTCCAGGACAAATAAAGATGACAAAAATATCTTAATTTCTCTATACTCACTCTATAATAATTCCATTCTTCACTAATTATATTAAACCCATATTGTTTACACAAATCTTAAATAACACAATCTTAAATGCCACAACTTCAGAATGTGATCATATTGATGTCATCTCATAATATTAAAAACTTATAACTATAAACTATATCGTAGTACTAATATTTGTTATAAATTAAAATAAATAACATTACTATCAAAATTTTTATCTTACTAATCAACATTAAACCACTATCCACGTGTTTTTTACTTATGATTATCTGTTGACCAAAACGTATAGATTACTTTGACAATAACAAATATTTTCATATATAAAAAATAAATCATTAAATCACTCTTCATTAATTTAATATTTGTAAACAAATTGTAAATTCCATATATATTATTATCAAATTTTTTAGAAAAAACTGCATTAAAAACAATTCAACATTTTTGCTATCTAAAAATTCCTACATCAAATTCATAAGTGTTCTAAATCGCAATTATTTATAATAAACTTTACAAATTACATATTTAATATTAAAAATATTAAAAAATCACATACAATTGTGTTTTATCATCCAAAACATAGCATTAAAAAATTAATATTATTTAAAAAACCAAAAAACTGATCAATAATATATCATCTGTAAAACGTATAAAACTATAAATAATATCTATCAAATATTTATTTGAATATTAATATGAAACAATACTATAAAAATATATGTATATAAATAAATTTAGTCCATCCAGAAGAAATGTGAATATTCGCGCATACAAAAGAAAAAACTAAAAAATTTTAAAAATTATAAAAATTATATATATATAAAAATTCTTGAATCTCAGAAAATTATCATTTACAGGACATAAACATATTAGTGTTACATATTCAATGAAAAATTACAATATTAATTATTAACATTAATCGAAAAATCAATTTCGAAAAACAGTCTATTTATAATCTATAAAAATCGAAATAAAATATATCAAACTTTATATCTCCAACCTAACATCTTCTAAAAAATATTTACCATATATAAATATATATTAAAATTTAAAAATTAAAAATTAAAATTTACATTTATACCACATATTACAACATCAAATTGTACTTAAATATCAATTAAAACAATAACAAAATAGTGAGAAATTATTTCTTTACAATCATTTCCAAAAAACTCACAAAATCTAGCATCACCTATTATACAATTAATACACAATCCTATTATTTATTTACCTATATTTATTTTTATTTTTTTTTAATAATAATGATAGTTTAGTTTATAAAACTAATACTAACATGAATAGATATAGCTTTGGCTGCTGAGGCCTTTAGCTATGTGTTATTACAAATTATTATTAAATGCTTATAAGTATCTAGTTGTATAGAATGAATATACAGTAAAATATTATAATACATATGTTAATAATTACTCTAAGAAACTAAGGTTGTGTGCGAGTTAGGCTAAGTTGCGTTCTAAATGAGGGAAATTCTAAGTTGTGTCGATAATGTATTGATGTGTCGATACGTCTTGATAAATGGCAAAATGTGTGCAGTGCAAAAAATCCCAAAAAAATCTCCCATTTGGTTTAGGATCAACTTATCCTAACTCGCACACGTCCTAAAACTATGTGTTTCGTATTATGGTTAGTATTGTCTTGTGTATTAATAAGATATTTTTTTTTTTTTTTGTTTGTGTAAATTTTTGATGTTTAGATTTTATGATAAATGTTAGCTAATTTCAGAAACTGTATGATTTTTTTTATGTTTGTAATATTTATGTTTATTAAGCTGACTGTGGGTTTAATATTTCCGAAAACTTTTGTTCTATAAGAGTTTAATCATTGAGTATAAATATTATAGAGTAGCAATCTCGTACAAGCAAATTTTTGTATGAGGTTGCTGCTGCTGGCAACCCTTTTGCACTCAAAAAACACTCCATTCTCTTCATGTCTTGTTTTCTGAATTGCTTTGGATATTAAAGTAAATGGCAAAACGATTCTCTCAAATAACTCTTTTCGTCGTTTGTTATATTGATCAGTGCTTCTGCGAATTTATTAGGAAGGTATATGTAGGAAAAAAATATTACTCTAGTCTTTTTGTGTGCTTTCATATTGCATGTGCACTTTACTAGCATACATACAGTAACGAACAAAATTATTGGCACAGTAAGCAAATTGAACTATTAAAAATCGCATTATTAACAGGATAAAAATAGTGCAAAAGTTCACTTTGCTTGCTGTGCCAATAATTTTGTTCATCACTGTATATGTTTACATATTTCTTTTCTATTTCTCAGCATGTAGGTATGTTTGTATTAATTTTGCATCCAAAATTAAGAAATTGTAAGCGTAAAAAGAAGTTTGGTTTTTTTTTGTTTCATATCAGAAACAATGCTACTATTATTTTTATTGTTTTGATTCTGATTTAAAACTGTTTTTAAAAATATGTATGTATATGTAAAGGCTTACTAATTGCTTCAGTATACACATATGTATGTATGTAAATATTATGAGCTTCATGTATTAATAAATAAATAAATAAAAAGAATAAATATAAAAATGTTTAACAAATTCTGATGGTGCAGTTACAACCTCATCTTCTTTCCGTATTTGGGGCCAAAAATCTATTTCTCTACGTATATTATATATACGTATATATGTATATATATATATGGGAATGTAAGGAATATATGAGAATAAACCCAAAACTAATAAAATTCATTAAAAAAAACATGAGTAGCCTTTATTTCTAGGAAATTCTGAAACAAAAATAATTATATGTTCATATGCCTATGCCTATGACCATAAAATAGAATATACATATATTCCTCTATTTAAATTTGGTGCTGAAAAGTGATATTTAGTTTCAATGAAATAAAAATACACAAGGGTACAAAATAGAGTACAAGGAAACAAAATCATAACAAAAAACTTACATGCACATGCTCACTATGTTATAGAGCGTTGTAGAGAAATTCATTGTGCTCTCTATTTCAAGTAACATTGTTACCCGCGCCCCCACAGGTCTACTTAGCAAATTGAGTTTGTTTTCAGATTTCTACTCTATAATATTTATACTCAATGGTTGCACCAAAGTACTTTTCAATGAAAATTAAAGTATGAAAAGAAAAGTGAAATATCTGACAAAAAACTGGTTTCTTTGCACTTTCTGTTGCACCAACACTTTTTACTTTGCGCTTTGCAAAAGTAAACTGCAAA